TCTGGGATCAAAACAAACTGCCAGCATTGCTTACTATGTACTTTTATAATGTTTCTGTAAGTGTTCCAAACTGCATTTTGCATACTTTGATGTCAAATTACAAACTTAACAAAAATCTGACATATTTACAATATATATTAAAATAAAGATGAGTGTAATGGCAAAACAAATATATAAGAAATAATTTATTTGCCATGAATTAAGTTTATGATATTTGAAGAAATGTGTGATCATGCCCCAGTCAGTGAAAGTGTGTTTCCTACCCCTAGGCTCCAGAGGGTTAATGGTTTTCACAATTTGTTTCTGGTGACTCTGCATTTGAAAATTTGTGATCCATTTACAGTTTTCTAAACATCTCTCGAAATATGAAGTACTATATACCAGCCTTCCATATCTCATTCCTATCAAATTGATATTGAAATGGAATCAAACAGAATCAGATTAAATCGAATCGCTAGGTTGTGAATCGGAATCAAATCAAATCAATTTGAATCAGGGCATCTGCGCCTATACCCCAACATACTAAACATGCATAGTTTTTAAGCTTAACTCTTGTTTTCATGTCATACACCAGTGTAATGGATTGCTTAAATACAATTTCATGTCTGAAGTCTCTTACCTCATCCGAATCCCACTTGTTGGTGCTGCTTTTGTCTTGGTTCACTATATACCCAGGAGGCAGCCAGTTCACAGGTGGATCAAAGATGGAAACTACCATTCGACTTGGTAGGCCTTTCTTTTTCCCCAGCCGATACAGATTACAGTTGCTGACCTTAAATTTAAGGAAAGATTTAAAGAAATACATCAAAATAACGTTTGCTATTTAAAAAAAAATAATTAAATCAAAGTACAGTAAAACCTCGGATTGCAGGCATAATTCGTTCCGGAAACATGCGTGTAATCCAAAGCACTCGTATATCAAAGCAAATTTTCCCATTTGATGGAAACTCAGATGATTCGTTCCACCACCCAAAATATTCATATAACACAGATTAATACAAAATATAACATAAAAATGCATCAAACAAATTAACCTGCACTTCACCTTTGAAACGAATTGTGGATGGTGTGAGGGAGACATGAGAGAGAAGAAAAGGAGGGTTATTTTGAAGGATGACTTTCACTATAACTAATGGAATCACTGCTCTGTTGGCTCACTGGAATCTTTCGTTTTGTGCAACTTTAACAAGGAACCTATCCAGTGACAGCTGCTTTTACCTCCTTTTCGATTTCACGGAAATGTGGTGATTGCATTGTCGTTAAACAGATTCATCTTTTGCACTGCTACGGCCTTATTCGGGTGGTGCTTTTCTACTAAATTTTGACTATATGAGTGAGGCACGCCAACTGAGACTGAGCATGGGAAACGATTACCCACAATCCTGCAGTGAGAGAGAGAGAACCACCATCGGCTCAGTTGTGATTACGTGACGCTAGGCAGACAAAGCGTATACATAATACTTGAAAACTTGCAGGCAAGGGAGCTCAATGATAAAAATAAAAGTACAGAAGCTGTATGGATAAAACTGGATGCTAAAGACTCAAATGGCCTAATTGTAGGCGTTTGTTATAGAGCACCTAATATAGCTGCAGAGGAAAGCAGAATGTTATATGATATCAGGATTATGAGTAATAAAAATGATGTGGTGGTTATGGATGATTTTAATTGATCTGGGATACAGTGGGACACAGTCTCTGGCTCTTCTGTAAATGAACTTGAGATGGTGGAATTAGTACAGGATTGTTTTTTTACTCAGTTAATACCCCTACCAGGGGAGAAGCCCTTCTGGATCTTGTTTTCTCTAATAACCAGGATAGGATTGGAAAATTAGAGGATTTAGAACCATTGGACGGTAGTGATCATAACATGGTTAAATTTGAGGTAAATTTTAGTGTCAGAAGAGCAAAGTCAAAACTAAAAGTATACAATGTTAAGAAGGCTAACTTTAATGGCATGAGATGGAAACTAGAAACTGTAAACTGGACAGATTTAAATAGCAAAACAGTTGAAGAGGCATGGGAATTTTTCAAAAGCACATTGTTGCAAGTGCAAGAGGACTTCATACCTGTTTCCAGCAAAACTAAATCTAGGAAACGACAACCAAGGTGGTTTACAAAAGAAATTAAGAATAAAGTCAGGAGGAAAAGGGCTCTGTTCCACAATTAGAAAATAACTAATGATTTCAAAAGTAAGCAGGAGTAAGTCTACAGGTAGAGTTAAAAAAATAACAGACTGTCCAAGAGGGATGTAGAAAGAAAAATTGCATTGGAGGCTAAGGATAGCAATAAAAGTTTCTCTCAATACTTTAACTCCAAAAGAGCACTAAAAGCTGAAATCACTAATTTGCAGGATAGTAAGGGCCTTATAATTGAAAATGAAATTGATATAGTAAATGAGTTTAATGATTATTTTTCACGGGTGTTCACAGTAAGAGAACAGAACACAAGTAACTTACCACCAATTAGTATGAATACAGCGTCGTCTATGACCAATATATGTATAACTGAGGCTGATGTGGTATTAAGCCTAGCTAAACTCAAAATAAATAAATAAATTGCAGGGCCCTGATGGCATCTTACCTATAGTTTTAAAAGAGATGAGGGATATTATTAGCCAACCTTTAACTTTAATATTCCAGAAATCGTTATCTGCGGGTGTGGTACCTTCAGATTCAGTACCTATCACTTGTTATTCATATTTGTTCATCACTAGTGAGTCATGATGCATCTTTTATCTCGAGCAGTTACTATATTTGTTACTATATCTGGTAATTCTGTATATGTTTGTGAACTACTGAAGAAACTACTGAAGGTACAAGTAATGAATAACAAGTGAAATACTGATCTCATGTTTGTTCAATGAATTGTGACATCTTTTATCTCAAGGAACAACTACATTTGTTCGTGATTTGTTCATTTGTACTTCAGTAGTAACAGTTAAGTGCATTTTGTGCAGCATCAAGTAATGTTACTGTACATATTTGTTGCTCCACTATCTTCTGCTGTGATGTCTTTAAGTAACTTAGGCCAAACTTGCTGGCTTGCCTCTCATTTGGCTTAAAACCAAAAAACTGCCAAATGACTGGAGTAGTCTCTTCAAGGCCAGGTTAGCCATCTTTTTTCAGCGAGTGTGACACATGTTTGACGGTCTTCATTTCAAAGCTAAAGTGATATTGTTGGTCAGGGTAGGCGAGACTTGCGTCTCACTTTAAAATTATGAGTCTGAACCATACATGCTCTAGTTTACGACAGCGTTTTAGTGCCACCTTATCTAATATTTTGAGAATAAAGTCGAAATATTTTGAGAATAAAGTCGAAATATTTTGAGAATAAAGTCGAAATATTTTGAGAATAAAGTCGAAATGTTACGAGAAAAAAAGTCGAAATATTACGAGAATAAACTCGTAGTATTTTGAGAAATAAAGTCAAAATTACGAAAACAGTCGTATTTTTACTTGGATGTTTACGTTAAGTTCTGTACAAGCATGTCGTCTGCGCCAGTGAGTTAGCTCTATGGAAGACCTTGAAAACATCAACCGTTAAAGGTCAGGTTTATTAATGTAGTAGTCGGCAATAACTTTGGGGTCACTGTTTGTATTGTACGCTTCCATCCAAAACACAAACTGACTGAAGCCGTCAATGCAACCATTAATTGTGATGCCGTACGGCTTGAGTTTATGATATGAATCCATATGCCACAATGCGTTGGGACCCCGGCTGAAGTACTGGCGACATCGGAGACGTCGAGCGCGCCGGTGTTCAACTCCTTCAGGGTCGATTGCTTTGATCATCATCCTCATAGTCTCTTGAGAAACAACATATCCTCTTCGAATAGCACGCAGATGTAACCATCGATATCCCTGGAGTCTACCACTGGTCGCCATTTCAGACTGCACAAAAGAGGCAATTTCCTCAATGTCTGTCTGATTTTTTCTTCTGAATAAATTAAGTTTCCTACATAACCGCTGCAGTGTCCTTTTACTAATTATAAGTCCGTGCTGATGGGCCAAAAGACAAAGAATTGCCTCATTGCTAAATCCTAACCTAAAGTAGGACTTAACCAGATCCTCCACATCCATAGTTTCTCGCAATTCTGTGATTTTTCTCGTAATATTTCGACTTTATTCTCGTAATCTTAGATTTTTTTTTTAAGGTGGCACTAAAACGCTGTCGTACTAGTTTGAGATGGATTCAAGTAGAAATGCTTTCAATTCTAAGACAAGACCAAATAAGTGAAAATGTGGTCTCGAGACCAGACTTGAGTACTACAACACTAGTTGCAGCTAGTGCGGCTGTGCCTCTATTAATCCTGCCATCGTGCATCAAGCACCACGTGCCTGCACCGGTCGGCCGCTGCATTGAGACATATATTTCAACCCCTGTATTAGCTTAGTCATTTCATCTTGTTTGTTTGACTCATCTGCTGGCCCCTGGAGGATGGGCTCCCCCTTTGGGTCTGGTTCCTCCCAAGGTTTCTTCCTCTTAGGGAGTTTTTCCTTGCCACCATTGCCTTTGGCTTACTCAATGGGGGGTCCTTACGAGGCAGAAATGTAAAGCACATTGAGACAATGTAATGTTGTGATAATGCGCTTATATAAATTAAATTGAATTGAATTGAACTAGTGCCACCTATCAGATCTCATCACCTTTGCTTTCTAAACTGTAACCTTTCATTGTACCAACAAATTACAATCATGCACTGGAGGTATCCATGAGCCATTCACACCTTTTATGGCGCTGCTGGGGATGTATCTGGATCGCGTTTCACCGTTGCGTTGTTCATCAAATTACCATGAGAATGTGATTTGTATACGCGGTAATGCGGCTATTTAGAATGTGAATAGCGATCTTCGGGTGAAAGCAGTACTACACGCCCCCAATGCAGGTAAAACAAAGAAAGGTGACATGGTTTAACCTAATTTTAAAAACTTTAATACTTCCAACAATTGACGCTTTGAAAAGACGACAGACTACGGATTTAGTTAGCGTTTTTGTTATTTTTCTACAACAAGATTTCAGCGAATTATGAACTGAAATACAAGAGAAAGATACACGGCATTGCCGACGATGCTGCCGACCCCAGAGGGTTAACCACCAGCAGTGACATACTTCAGCGTATCATACCTTTTGTTTTTGTTAATGGGCAATAGCATTGGCAATATCGCTAATCCATCAAAACAACGACAGTCAGTAATCCTCACAGCAGTGGTGTCGGTGACCCCCCAAAAAGCCGTAAAATCCATAATACAATCGTGTTTATGTCATATCTTTTTGTGCTTATTAATTTAAGTATTTCCAAAGATTAATCTTGTGAAATAAATCTAAATCCCACAACAGTAATAAAATAAAAGTCTTGCTTTAACATAAATACTAAAACAATAGATCGCTTAAATCGCTATTACAGTTGGGTATGGGCAAGCGGTCTTATTTAGAAAAGATACAAAAAGAGATCCATATAATGGTTATTCATTAGTTTTGCATTTGTCCGAGTAACAAGGCAAGGGAATGACAAGCCGCTTCAGTCGAAAACTGCATTTTACTTCTCATTTCAAATAAAATGCAGGATTGCCATCTTTGGTCAGCTGCATGGAGTTGAGATTATCTATTCTCTGTTCTGTACACACATTTACAGGTATGTAAAAGTTTTATTACCTAGTAAATAGTCTGTAGGTTTTGCAAACTGGTCTAACGTTTTTGATGCAGCTAATTTTTTTGTTTCACCTGAACTGATTTGTATATAAAATAACCATATAGGCCTACAGTTGTTAAAAAGCAGAAACTTCGACCAACATGAAATCACCAATAAACTACTTCTATTTAATTTTTTATTAAATGCATACTACATTAAACATTTCCAACTTTATGGTTTCAGGATAGAACAGCCACTTTGTTATGAACATTAAGGCTTTTTGGTTGAGTGTGTTAGATTCGATGCTGTTATTAACACTAACAATACATTAGCGCAAACAAAATGGCTGCATACACCGAAGTAGTTCTTGCTTGTTCATTAGTGTGGGAAAAGGCTGTTCTAGTGTTATTAGGGGGCTAATCAGCGTTAGCTGCAAGATCGCTATTGTTTTTCTTTTTGCTGCAATTGTTTTCATTATTACTTTAACTTAACACACCACATCTTTAAATTATCATCCTTGCATTAGAATATAGACCAGTTAATATTCTGATGGTATCTCATGTGGTAATGCTGCGTCATATGTTTTAAATTTATTACACACTGAATATTGAACTGAAGCTTGACATAAAAAATTATATCGCAAATCAAATCGCAATCGCAGTGTCTGTCAGAAAAATTGCGATTATTTTCCCCAAATCGTTCAGCCCTAGCACAAGGTACACAAAAAAGCTTGCAAGTTAAACTTCACACAAATTTGAAGTAGTTTGCGTTAGAATGAAAATTACCTAGTCAGTGGTAAGTACTAAAATAAGGGTTCCAGAACTACAAATTCAATTTTAATAAACTATTACTGTGGGTATATTATTTGGAATGCTAAAGCAATTGTCTACTTTATATGTGGTTCAACCTAGATTTATCCAACTTCTTGGTACTGACAATTTTATTTTCCAGTGATTTAAGTCAACCAGGATATTCATAATTACTATATCTGTATATGTTTTGTCATGTCCTAAAGCAAGCCTTTATTAACTTTCGTGGTTGATGTCACTGGGTCAAACTTACTACGTGTATCAAATATACACCATTAGAAAAAATAAGTAAGTAGTGTTGGAACACAGGTATGACAAGACACAGAACAGACCTGAAGTAATTTTTCAGATTACTTACCTTCTTGCTCCTCATATAAGAAAGGCGTCCTTCATGGGCATCTGGGTACGTACAAAAAAGGTAGGTGGTGATAGCATGCTTTAGAAAGGAATCACCAAGCATCTCTAGCCTCTCCAAGTTGAAGCCATCACTGGCATTAGAAAGGGTCAATGCCTGCAGAATGAGACCAGGGTTCGGACCCAGAGTTTTTGGGGTGGCACCACCGATAGAGAGAATGCTGATGTCGGAAAAAACTGAAGGAAGTGACACTGTGGAGCTGGCTGTCAACTTGCCCACCTGGCAAGAGTCTGAGGTAGGTAGCATAACACGTCCATCAAGATTTGAGTTACACCCTGCCATACATTCAATACTGGGACTGGGCTGGTCCTCAGTGCTCCGAGAGTGCTGCACAGGAAATGAGGTAGTGGCTGGTACATATGTTTTGCGCTCAGGTGAGCCAAGCATTGAACACTGGCATTGATCAGGTCCACCAAGATGACAGGTGCTGTCTGTTGTGCCATTACTGAAGTTCTTGGCACAGATAGAATTAATCTGCTCTTTGTCTTGATGCAAACAGCCAGCCACAGGGAATGAGCCAATGTTTGACTTTCCACTGAGTCTGTTAGAGTCCACGTATTTCATCATACTATTTTCTGAGGTGGCGCCTTCATGTAGGGAACATGGGCAGGATCCTATGCTTGTGCTGTGCTTATTATCACTACCTTCCATGCGGCCACTGGGACTTGATACAAAAACCCTGCTGTCAATGGATTTTTTCCAACCAAAATCCAAATTTGGGTACCTAAAAGGGATATCAAAGGACAATTACAAAGCATGATATTTAAGTGTAAAAAAAGCAGACAGTGTTTCACTTGTTGAGCTTCCAGTGTTGAAACTAAGCACAACAGGGTTTTGATTCCAAAATACAGCACATTAACGATAAAGAGACTAACCTGAAGTTTGGTGGCAGACTTTCCACTCCCACACCAGCATCAATTGCTGTCTGAGCTCGCAGCTCTTCAGCAGTCAGGAGGCAGTGTAACCGGTAGAGAATGCTGGGAAGGCACACCGCTTTCCTCCACAGGGAAGCGGGAATGGGGTGGATGGCACACAGCTCCGGAACCAGAATCTGAATTTTAATTGTTCAGAAAACAATTGTTTAGTAAAATCATGATCTGTTAATGGGGTGGCATGGTGGTGTAGTGGTTAGCACTTTTTCCTGACACTGCTGTGGGTCAGGGTTCTCAACCTTGGCCCTACATGTATGGAGTTTACATGTTCTCCCAGTGTCATTGTGGGTTTCTTCCAGGTACTCAGGTTTTCCCCCACCATCCAAAAAACACACTGAGGTTAACTGGAGGTACCAAACTGCCTGTAGGTGTTCTGTGTGAGTGAAATGGTGTGTGTGTGTGCGCCCTGCGATGGGTTGGCGACCCATCATGTGTTGTTCCCTGCCTTGTGCTCATAGCCTGCGGGATAGGCTCTGGCCCCCCACAACCCTGAATAGGACAGGCGGGTAAAGAAAATGGATGGACATGATCAACTAATAAGGACGAGAGGCTGAATTAATAAAATAAGTCATTTTAAATTTTACAATTCAGCCACTTTTCACATTGCTTTGTATAGGTGTGTAATGGTTAAGTGCATCATCAAAATGATGCATGTGCATGCAATGAAGGTGAGTATTAGGGACGGGAATCTTTAATAAATTATTGATGTCGGTGCCATCATCGATTCTTCTTATCGATCCGGTTCTCTATCGCTTCCCTTATCAATTCCTAATCGCTGTAAAATAATCAAATATTAATATACAACTGATTATAATTAGACCTGGTTAGCTACATATTTATAAAAAAAAACAGATGCTTGTCCATCCATCTGCTGTAATGGCAACCTTGGACACATTCAGCTCTGAAAGTAATTTGGCTTTCAACTTCATACCAGGCAGGGATGAGATGACTGGTCAGGTAGTCCCTTGATGGGGGGTTTATATCTTGGGTTAAGTGCCTTGGTCATTTCCATAAAGAATATTAGTGTAAATAAAATGCTAGATTTAAACATAATCAACAAGCAATTTGACAGCTGATATAATTTTTGCCATCAGAAAAGCATACTGGGCTTTTAAAATAACGCTAAATGTAGCATAACGAACTAAAATGGACAACACTCTAGTTTAATATTACACATCTGCTTTACAATGTACTGACATACAAAACTAATGGAAGCATTTCACTACCAGTACCTACCGAAAAGCTTTTTGCTCTACTGTAGTGAAAGGATGCAAACCTTTCACCACGAACTTTGTCACAGCCCGGAGGCAATCGTTCACCCTCTCCTCATTACATTTCGCTGCCTGGAAAGCTAGCGTGAACAGGTTTAGTTTTTCCGGCCATGACGCGACTGCTGCCTCAGAGGACTTTTCATTGCCACCCTGCATGTCATCTTCTAAAATGGATGAAACAAATGTACTCTATAATTTGTTTATGTTTCAGGAAACGTGCCTATAGGTTAAGGCACCGTAGTTAAAGTTACTAAGTGGCATGATCAAATTCTCATATGATAAATTTCGAATGGCTATAGACTGTTCCTTATAAAATTTTCCAATGGAGACCACGGAGCTTGCACTCGGCAGAGTGGCGAACACATGGCAATCTTTAAATATAACGCCGTGTTGACAGCTTAAATGCTTAAGCATATTACTAGTGTTACCACCCTTAGAGGTGACAACGGTTTTGCATTGGTTGCAAACTGCAGAATGGGCATCCTTCTTTGTAAAATGCAGCCATGCCCTGGATCACTGCCTGCGCTCTATCATGTGGAGCATGGGACATCATTTCACGTGACACGAAAAGTCCAGATGAATCATTAGAGGAATCGGAGGTGTACGATTCTGGTTCTTCGCAACAATAAGAACTGGTTCCAAATCGGAACAGTTTCTCGATTCCCATCCCTAGTGAGTATTCTTTCTCGTTCTTAAAAACAATTGGCTACATTTGTCCAATGCCATAACTGTAGCTTTCACCTTGTGTCTGCTGAAATCTGTGAAAACTGATCTTTATGCTAAAAGACGCAAAATGCATAATAAATTTTGCCAAGCAAAAATTACCACAGTATATTAAAAATACTATAAAATGCCCAAACCTAGCCTACACACAAGTCCCTACATCTCCAAAAATCTTTATTAAAGGTTCAACTTGTCTCAACGTCACAGGTTCTGATCTGATCTGAGCCAGTTCTTTTGTGTGCAACCACTAACTAGGACTAGGGCTAAGTGGCATGATCAAATTCCCATATGATAAATTTCAAATGGCTATAGACTGTTCCTTATAAAATTTTCCAAGTGAGGGAGCTGGCAACGAATGTATTTTATCTCATAAAGTATGAGAACCATCAACCTACACAATGTGCCTGGGAAGTCTGAAATTATCCATACTTTCAAATTTACTGGGTTCACAAGATGGCTTCTGCAGCCTCACTTTCTGTCCTCTCCTGCCACATAATGCTGCCGCTTTAGTTTTCTGCCAATTGCTCTGCGGTGTACCTGGATTTTCAGGTATAAATTTTTACCCATATAAATGTTTTTGTGAAGTAGTTATAACATGTTATGCTTTTTGACTTATCACATTCATAAGGTCAAATGTCGAAAAGTTTTCAAAAGTTTGAAAAAGATCCTTTCATTTTTGAGCTATCACACTAACGATATCAAGTGTCTGAAACAACCCATTTTTTGGTATCATTATGTATCACTGCTTCAATTTTGGTGCCATCTGTCTCAAAATTGGATAATATCCAGTTCACTGGCCAGACAATAGGTCTGCCAAGTTTGAAAAAGATCTATCAAATACTTTGAGGCATCACACTAATGAGAAAGTGTCTGTGGTAAAGGCTGACCAGACCCAAAATTATACGTATTCCTGTTCTGGGAATACAGTTACAATGCACACTGAAATCAAAACATTTAAACACAGAAAGGGTGCTGTCGGAACAACAATTCCCCAAACAGTCCCGTTGTCCCTCTCCACATCTAATCCTTATTCCCCCCACACTTCCCAGCCTGTACTATTTTTAGAATTACTGTCATTTTTGCAAGATGGCACCAATGAGTATGGGCGCAGTCTTGTGAGCTCCATTCTGCTCTTACCATTTTTTGACATACCTCGGTTCTCGAACATAATCCGTTCCGGACTCCGGATCGAATCCTAAAAAGTTCGAGTTCTGATCGAATTTTTCTCATAAGAAATAATGGAAAACCAATTAATTGGTTCCCAGCCCCACAAAATTACACCTAAATGTGTTTTTTTTTTTTTTAAAGCATTTAAACACAAAATGAACAGGATAAAACAAGAGCAGCATTTTTTTCTTAATGGCTTCGAAAACGATAAAGATCTTATCCCAACATTACCCCTGCCCTGCCCCGATCGTCTGCTCCTTCCGTGTGTCACGCCCCCTCGTTAACCTCATGTGGGATCCCCATGTGATCAGCTGTTTCTGGTTGTTGTCATTAGTCCTCTGTATTAAGTCCGCGTTTCAGTTTGTTTCCCCAGTCCGGTCATTGGGAGCATTCGACTTGCTTACAGCGCTGGCTTAAAGCAACGCATTCTGATCCAGACGCAATGCATTATGGTTAGATGCATTGCACAATCTGGAACCGCCTCCGTGACGACACACCTTTGCCCTTATTGGTGGAAGAGTTTAGTTACACACATGACGTTTGTATCCCAGGCAGTTACGATGCGTAATCTGCTATTTCTCCCGAATATCACGTAAAGCAGCGAGAACTGGTTTTCAGTTAATTTACCTGGTAAAATAAAGTTTTAATAAATGACATAAATGCTCAAATAGTACACGCAAGTTAGTGGTTTATTTATTGCTAGTTACTGTAATGTTGCGCTGCTTTATTTGGTTAATCGTCCAGTCTGTGAAGAAGGCATTCAAGTAAGAACTGCATTGTAGTATGACTCATTTCCTGGCACATATTTATATTAGGTCAGCGTTCACGGTTCGACTTCTGATATTCAGATCGAGTTCTATGTCAAACTGGTTTGTTCGACTTTCAAGAAATTCGAGTTCTCGTGAGGTACCACTGTATTTATTACTATTTTCTGTACTTTTCAATAAATTAACTGTTTATGCATTAACCAGTCACAACCGACAGACTCTTAGGGACATAAGATGAAATATAGGACTATATTGGTACACCAAAACAGTGATCACAACTCGTACATCATATTGCTAAAACAACAGATTTGGAAAAAGATCCTTCAAATTCCTTCAAATGCTTTTTCTGTTATTACTCTAAGAAAATCAAGTGCTAAAACTGTCCCTTTCCTCACTATCACTAGTACTAGTTCATCACCCAAACAATAAGCAAATTTGAAATCGATCAGATAAAAATTTTTTGAGTTGTCATGTTGACACGAAAGAGTCTGCAACTGTGGTAAACCAGTCCCAAAAGCCCATGTATTCCCTTTTTCGTGGAATACAACACAAGCACTTCATTTTACAATAATTTGTTTCACATGACACTGAAAGAGCAACCAGAAGCAGAAACATACAAAATTTACATGTAAAGCTCTTTACACTTTACACTGGTGTCCAGCTTACAGACCTGCTTGTTTTGGAGACTCTCCCACTTGGCCTTGCGCTTTTCTGCACTGCTCAGAGGAAGTGCTTTCCCTTTCTGATTAAGGTGCCGAGGTGTTAAAAGGTTTAGCCTGTGAGGGTTAAACACACATACTGTGACATCAATCCAGACACCTTCGAATCACTCACAGTACAGGATAGGGTCAGTGACATACTTAACAGTGCACTGTATAAATATAAAATACACAGATTTCATTTTAATTTCTTTTAATTTCTTTCACGCTAACTTTTATTTCTTTTAATCTCATGACATACCTTGATGATGTGTGGTCCACATCAAGAAGCGGCTGGTTTAAGTTTGACAGATCAAGGTTATATTTGGTTTTGTAGTACTCAGCAAATGTCTCATATTCTGGAGAGGGGAATTTACTGAGTGGTGTGAGATCAGTGTAGACATCGGCTACGTAGAAGCGGTGAGGTTGGTCAAAATTGCGATACCTGAAAAATAGATATTTTTCTAATTCCACTGCAACTCTAACACAGACAGCCCATCTTTCTGATAATTTATGGATCCTGTGAAAGGTAAATCCATGACAAAATTTCACAGATTTATGAAGAGGTGCTCAACGTATCATTTTGTGTATACGTCAACAACCTGAGAATTCCTAAAAGTCAAATTTGTTTACATATGTAAATCACTTTAGTTCATTAACTCTGTCATGTAGGTGATGACAGGCATAATAACCTGACTCAAAGGCTCAAGACAGTAACTGGACAAACTAGTTCAGTTAGTTTTCATATTTAGCTCACTAACAAACATATTAAGCTAGCCATATAAATTACCTGTGGATACACAAAAATGTTAATTTACTGCATGTAAACCCTGTTTAAAACCCGAAGTGTTAACCTAAACACAATTCAGCACAATCGTTTAAAGCACAACATGCTTGGCAAAAATAATAGAACATGTTGCAGAACAGGGTACTGGAATGGTCACTAATGCCACTCAAGTCACAGCTTAAAAATGGGAAAGAAAAAAGAAAACAGCCAATCAAGGCAACAAATCAAGGTAACAAAATTGACGTGAACCCATCTTGTCACCCTACTGCCCCAACTACAAACCACACTCACCTGATTCTGCCTTTCAAAACAGCACACAAAATGAAAACATTAGGAGATTCAGATGTAAAAACAATAAGAATTTCATTGTGTTGTCACTTATACAATAAAAAAAAAAACTTTATTTCAATTATTGGAGTAATAGAAGTCATCAGGCCTGCAACAGAGAACTGTACAAGGGGCAATAAAAAACGCTGGAAAACTATAAATACTTTGCATGTTACAACATGCTTAATTGTATGAATATGCCATTTACATGTTCTATACATATGCTCTATGCTCCAAACAAAAATGATTCACGTTAATGCTGCACAATTTCACATTACCTTGTGAATGTTCACTGAAAATGTGATATTAACCCAACTTCTCGTTGGTTCCAACACTAGCCTGACATATCTAGCATCAGGGGAGCGCTGCTCCCAGGATTTAAACTGGTTTTATGATGTTGAGGGAAGAAAGTGCCTTGTTGTTCACAATGCAATTCACTGTACAGTGGCCCATTCTGCAGTGACTTTTATATGTAAAAGTCACTGCAGAATGGGCCACTGTACAGTGAATTGCATTGTGAACAACAAGGCACTGTAGTAAGACAAAGCGGGAAATTCCAGCAATCCTGCACTGAATTTCAAGAGCTGCTTTAAGTACAGACACACAAACAATTACATACACATATGATTCCAATTACCACCTTGATAATGCAATATTTAAAAAGGATCTGTAAAAGCTGATGTCAACTTAGTGTAACTTACTGTAAGCGCAAAGAGGGGATGGATTTTCTGCCTGCAAGCGCATACATGCATGTGGTTCGGGTTTTAAGACTAAATTAACACCAAACAAGCGAGCGAGTGTTGTGCAGATGCAAGCACATAGAGGATAGATTTTAGATAGATTTATAAATAGTATAAACATATTATATGTACAAATAACATTTATATACATTTTTTAAATATTTACCTTTATATTTATAAATATAAA